CACACACACACACACACACACACACAGTTCTCTCGGGGCTCAAATGAGTGACTCTGATTCTCCTGCAGGTGGATGTGGTTTGCGGCGATCACCTCCTAGATCCCTCCCAGTCACTCAAAGACGTGCAGAGCGCTGTGGGCGAAGAAGCGCTGCAAGTAAGAACCAGAATCACACAAAGCACCGAATCACTTTGTATAATAATGATGATCATTCGAGCGTCATGGAGACTGACCCCGATGAGTAATCCTTTTGTTCGTGTTTCCATTTTGCTCCAGGACGGTCTGCTGGTGCTGCAGTTTGGCCTGATCCTGCCCACCCACTCCTGACCATGAGATTCTTTTTATCTGACTCTTGTCATCATGTGGAATGAAGTGTCTGCCTTTGCATTATACCTGCTTCACAGCCATCTTGGATGTGAGGGTCCAATATCTCTAAACATTTCTTTATTGAATGTTCTGGGATGAAAATATATCAACTGTTCTTTTAGATTTCTCACTGTAGCATCAAATGTTCATCTCTCAGGAGGACGGGTACATACATTTGTACTTACTTAAGAGCCAAAATGTAAAAATGACTAACTCTAACCCGACGAGTGGAAATTCCTCTTCCTACTGCCAATGTGTTCAGTGTGCTTCCACTGTGCAGAGCGTGACTTCTGCTGTAGACAAACTTCTGTGAATAGAAACTGAAACTCAGACAGTGCCTATGAGGCTAATACAAGCTGCATCAGTGCAGGTGGCCTCTTTTCTTCTAAAACCAGGGACCCATTTCTCACTTTTGTATTTAATGACTGAGTTGACTGTGATTTCAGGTACTACTGATTGAAAGGGCTTGAAAAAAAAAAAAAAGACAGACCACTACCAAAGGTTTGTGATTGTGTGTTTATTTAGATATTCAAGAGCTCCGATCTACATGTCGTCTTTTCCGGCTGGCATTTCGATTTATTTTGATTTACGCGTTTAATTTAAGAGCTGTTAACTTTTATATGAACTGTCAACTGATGTAAATGAATGCAACGATGAAGACACGATGAAGCCAGCTTTCAGTCCAGCTCATCTGAGCACTAAAGCATTTATTTAACGGGTGTTTGTATGCAGATGTCTTTGATAAGATTTGATAAAAAAAAAAAATTCTTACTTGGTTTTGTCAGTTTGAATGAATAAATGACTGCACAACTAAGAAAGACTTTCCTCATTCATCCATGTTGCTGTTTTGCAGCAGTGAGTTAGAAACTTTAATGGGAAGATAATTCAAATTTATGAGGACTGAAGTGTAAATCATAACATAAATTAAAATTTTCATTATTAATACATAGTGTTTACTGCATTCATGCTAAATAACTTCTTATCAGGACACATTGGACAGGGATTCCTCCCTCACTGGTTGAGATCTTAAAATCTGTTACAGCCTCCCTGCATTTCCGATGTAGTTGCTGAATATCTTGCTGTTTGAATGAATTCTGCAGATTGTTCTTCCACTAATGGACATAAACATCTTACTGGAGGCAGCCTTGAATGAACGTCTATGAATGTGTTGATGTGGATATAAAAGCAAGGAAAGCAGTTTGTTAGCCATATTATTTTATTCATTCAGTTCAACTAAAAACAATACTGATACTGAACAATTTATTTCTTTCACCATATCCTTTGCCACCAAACAGCTCTGTGTTTTATGTTCAGAGCAGGGGAGACTTCTACACTTTATAACACAACACATCAGTGCAAAGAAAAAGACAGCAGATAGTGTCAATTCTTTAAACTCTGACAGCATACACCAACATTTAGTGTCTTTCTCTTGAGAAACACTGGGTACTTTTCTTACCTGACACAGGTTTCAGTGCAATACAACATAGCAGCAAATGCAAATTCATCCAACATTTGGAACGTGTTCATCTCTGGAGAACTTTACAGCAGATAACGTCAAAATGTTTTCCAGGTTTGATTATTTTGTTTAATGTGGAGTAGAAGGACTTCACAACTTAATAACAAGAAACAAAGTTTATTTAAAAAAAGTTTGATAGTTTTAGAGTCTAAAGATCTGAGTACTGAGACCTGTGACCCAGGAAAGATGTCAACTATCACACAAAATACTGAATTTCACCTCTAATTCCACAACATTTGTCTAAATGTTTGTCTAAACGTATAAGTCTTCACACTTTCCAGATTTCTCTGTGTGTGTGTGTGTGTGTGTGTGTGCTCTCAGTTGTTGGAGTTGATGTCTGCTTCATCTTTGTCCTCACTGATCTCCTTGAAACCTTCCTTCCTGCCTCCTTCTTTCTCCCTCTGGCTGCTCTTGGAGGAGCCGGCGGAGGCTCGAGGCTGATAGTTGAAGCTGGCAGCACCGAAAGACACCCCTGAGTTAAAGTGAGTCTCCTCCCCCTCCAGCAGTTTCCTTGTGGGACAGAGAGAAACAAAATGTCAGAGTGGACACGCAGGCATGACGCATCCCACAAATGCTTCAAGATTCGTTTTTTTTAATGGCGTCCACTAGTCAGGAGAGAGACATCTTTTGTTGGGTTTGTCCTTTTTATCCTCTCAGCACCTGTAGGCAGCGATCTCTATGTCCAGGGCCATCTTGACATTGAGAAGGTCCTGGTACTCCCTCAGGTGCTGGGCCATCTCACCCTTCAGGTTCCTCAGCTCAGTGTCCAGATGACCAATAGTGTCCTGTTACAAAGGAAAAGCAAGGACATTATCAGCCGAGTTCTTCATAGATTTCTCAATGAATATACTTGACGGGTTCCTAATCTATACCATGGCACTGATTTTCCTGTGGCATAATTTCCTCAAGGGGAATAAAGAAACCTTTTGGAGCTTTAGCGTCTCTAAAGAGCCAGTGAAAGCAGATGGCCTTCCTTTATCCGATTAGCAGGTCAAAGGTTAATCTGATAGACACGATTGACTAAGAACTGTTTCGTGGCTTCTTCAGACCTTGAACTTGAATGAGTTGATCTCTGACTCTGAGTTGTCCATCACTGAGGTGAGAGTCATAACTTTATTTGAGGCAGGTTCATATTACAGACAGGATTTTTTAAATTCAAATT